CTTTGATGGTATTGGTGGGATGAATAGTGCTCCATCAGTGGTGTCAGTGAAAGAAATAGTGACCCCTTTGTTGGTGTTAGAAGGAGGAATAGTGCTCCATCAATGTTGTCATAGATAGAAAAGTGCCCCATAGTTAGTGTCATTGAAAAAAATAGTATCCCATCAGTGGAGTCAGTGAAAGGTGTAGTGCCTTATCTTATGCTCTTCAGGTTCCTCTAGTGGCCAAAATGCAGTATTTCAATAAATACGTTGAGCCTGAAAAGAAAATATATTTAAGAATGTATCTTTTTGCGTCTATGCGCACAATGCAAACATTCATAAAGATTCATAGGGTAAATGGCTCTGCAAATTAGTTTTAAATAGACTCTTAATGATACGATTTTAGGGTTATTTTAAAGTTAGCAGTAGGTTATAGATGATTTCATGTTAGGATGTGTGTCAAGATTAGGTGCTGGGGGTTTATTTTTTTGAGCAAGCTCAACCGCTTGAAGACCAGGTGTTTAGACCCCCTTCCTGGCCAGGCCATTTTTCAGTATCCAGAGCTGCAGTACTTTGACTGACATTTATTCCGTCATGCAACACTGTTTTTTTTACTATATTTTTTTTTACATTATGTTATAAAACAACTAATATTACCCACTTTTTTGGTAAAATATAAAAGACGGGGTCACGTTGGGTAAATAGACACCAAACATGTCAAGCTTAATAATTGCGCGCACTCGCGAAATCGCAAAAAAATAGCATACCCAAAATTGGCCATAGGTGACGCTTTAAAAGCTTTTACAGCTCATCAATTTAGTGTTATCAGTGATTGATGACCCTAGAACTATTGCTCTCATTCCGACGTTCGCGGCGATATGTAACATGTGCGGCGTAATGGGCGCAATCGTCGTTTTCGCAGGTATGCGCACCAGACGCATGTTTACATGTGTGTATGTAGGGGTGGGGACTTTAAAAAAAAAAAAAGCTTTTTTTAATTCTTTTTTATGTGTAACTTAAATTTTTTTTTGGGGGAAACTTTACATTTTTTTCCTATTTTTTTTCCACTTAACTTTATTGCTATCACAGAGGGGGCTAAGAAACCCCTCTATGTGATAGCAAAAGAGGTGACAGGTCCTCTTTATGGAGACATCAGGGGTCTCCAAGACCCCTAATGTCACCTAGGACCCCCCTGAAGAAGCTGATGAAGCAGATATCTGCTTCATCAGCTTCTCTCCAGCATCTGAAGCTGGAGAGTGACACGAGAATGCGTCTTCTCCCGCTTGTGCACGCCGCTCGGCGTGCATGAGTGGGCGGATCTAACAGGACGTGTATACACGCCCAGTTACATCCAAAAAGCTCCCGGCCGGCCATGTATACACAACGGCTGGCCGGGAGGTAGTTAAAGTGTATTTTCACTTTCGCAGTCAAATTTGAGAAAACAACAATTGTTATATGGTCCTATTCACACAGCATACAAAAAATATTTTTTAAAGAAATATTTTTAAATCTTTTAGATGTTTTGTTGCAATGGGCATACTGGCTGAATCCACAGCACAGCACCTTCACAGTGATCTGTCCTTATAGAAATATTCAGGACTGAGTGGATTGTTTTTCACTCATTAACATACAGTGGAGAAGCCAGAGTTGAAATAATGTAACCCATTGTTAGCACAGGCAGTGTTCAAATCTACTACTTATAATGAAATGAGCCAGACATGGTTAACACAAACCTCTCACCACTCACAACCCCTGTTAACATTACAAAGAAGGAGAAGTGAAGAAATGTTTTAGCAAGTAGAAAACAATTGAAACTGCAAAAAAGCATTTTATTTTTTTTAGAATATACAATGTGAATGGGAACATGTAACAATGATAAAATAGGTGTTATCCCAATTTGGCTGCAAAAGTGGAAATACACTTTAAGTTTTAAGCATACTTTTTTTATGATAAGGTTAAACTAGGCTATTTTATTAATAATAATATAATATTATACACTCCTGGAATGTACACTATTGAGAGGAATCAACTGTCTCCAGGGAGGTACGTCCTCCATACTGTTGACCATATAGGAATTAGAAATTTATAAACATATGTAATAATAAGGGAATAACACATTTAATACACTTGAGGAGGAAGGGGAATTAGAGCTTAAGGGGTGGAATATATGGGAGGGAGGGGAAGGGAAGAGGAAGAGCACTGGAACACTCAGGGAAGAGTAAGTGGGAACACTTTGGGGTCTATTCACAAAAGGGTGAAGAGTTAGGAGAAGACAGGAGAAGGGAACAATCTAGGACAATATAGCTGAACTGGAAAGTGAGCTGAATTGGGTATGTTGTCCTAGATTGTTCACTTCTCCTGTCTTCTCCAAACTCTTCACCCTTTTGTGAATAGACCTGTATATATCAGATATTGGGAGAGAGGAATATAAATTAATAAATAATTCCCTGAACACTGATCGCCCACCCCCCCAATCCACTTTTTTTTTCTCTTCTTTTTCTTTTCTTATATTTTTTAAGACCCATAAGTGGAAGATCATATGGAAAGATGCGGGATAGGTTTGAATAATAAGGGATACAATAATTATTGTAATTGAGTAGATGCCCCGCTAATGGCACGTAAATATTGATGAATGAGAGGAATTACATGTAGACAAGTACCGTATACTGTATGTAATAGGGAGGAGGGAAAGAACTATGTCAATGTTTGTTTGGATGTGTGTTTATGATTATATGTATGTATTTATGAGTATTTATATGTTATATGTATATTTGATATTTGGAAAATTTTATAAATAGATATTATATAAAAACAAAACAAAACAAGATTAGGCTAATTTAGGGGTTAGGTAAGTCTAGGAAAACAGCTAACATACATACTTGGAAGGTGTTCTACCCTCCAAAGATTTGTATTTCAGTCCATTCAATCCTAAGCCCCCTGGCAGATAACAAAGCAAGGTTGGTAGCCTAATGTTTCACTACAGCAGCTACTATAGTATGTGAAAAACATACTGCCATATCCTTTACTGTTTATGCAGCCTGACTGCATTACAGCAAAAAAAAGAAAGGTTCACTTGGGCTTTTTGCAATACAGCTTGATCAAGGAATCATTTGCTTTCATTTAGTAGCATCTAAAAATATATTTTAAGTTTAAGCTGATTATAATTTGTCTTCCCCGTGAAAACAAAACACTTTTAAAGGAGAACCATGAGGTCAGTGCTTTTCACTCACCTCATAGTTCTAGCGACCTGTGAAAATGTGACTGTCACAGGTTGGCTCAGTAGATCGGGAGGTGAGCGAACACATACCGGCGTTCGCTCACCTCTCGATCCTGTCACGGCTCTCTGCCGTGACAGGTGAGGGGCTGGATTCCCCCCTCCCTGCTCCGATCCGCCATCGCTGACTGGCGGAACGGACGGGGGAGGGGGCGGGTACAGCTGGCTCTGCCTCTAGATAGGCAGAGCCAGCTGTCAGTCACGCAGCTGGGCGGATCCCGGCACAATTGTCGGGATCCGCTTCAGCTGCGGCGCCTTAGTATACCGCGAGCTACAGTTCGCGGTATACTGAGCCTAGGGTGACGGGAGGAAGCTAGTTTGTGTCCTCCCGTTACCCTAAGGAGGACTATGGGGAAAAGCCTTAACCCCATAGTTCTCCTTTAATGGTATAGTTAACAGACCAAAAGAGACTAAATAAGAGAAGTTCACTGTTAGCTTTTACAATAACTTTAGTTATTTTATAAGTTAGTGTTAGGGATGAGGTTAGAGTTAGCCTCAACCTTGGGTGTTTGAAAGTGACACTAAACTCAGGAATCTTACAAAGGGATTAAAATACCTTAACTATACCATTAAAGGAGAATTTAATGGTATAGTTTAACCATAATAAGGTTCAGTATAATAATACTGAACCTTATTATTGTGTATCACTCAGTTGTAGATCCTGAAATCATCTCTGATTTGGTGCTGACACTGTCCTTCCTTCTGTAGGGGGGCTACTTTTGTTCCCCACAATCCCTGTGTGTGTTGTAAAGTAGTCACCGCTCCAAGCTCACTCCTGTGATAGACTATTATCTCAATAAGTTAACTAAACCTGAGCCAGAGAATTGTATCCGTGATCCACTGATAGCGTTCATGATGATTTACTGGCTCCAATTCACAAAATAATTAATGCACAATTTTTTCTTTTATGTTGCTGTGTGCATTTATAATTTTTTCCCAAAAAGTGGTCTTTTTCTTTAGAGAAAATGCACAAATTCTTTAGATTACAAGCTTGGGTTATGGCTTAAAGGAGAACTATGCGGTGAGTGATTTCCATCCTCATCCTCATAGTTAGAGCCGACCTGTGACAAAGAAGTTGTTACAGGTCAGCTCTATTGTACGGGAAGTGAGCGAACACATACAGTCGCTCGCTCACATTCCGATCATCTCCCTGCAGAGAGCGGTGACTGTCAGTCACCACTCCCCACAGGGATTCACCTCTCCCCTCTCCGATCCTCCAGCGCTGAGTGGAGGAATGTATGGGGGAGGGGGCGGGCACAACTGGCTCTGCCACTAGATAGGCAGAACCAGCTGTCACTCACACAGCTGGGTGGATCTCGATAGTATTGTCGGGATCTGTCCCGGCTGGGGCACTCTCAGAATATCACGGGCAGTAGCCCGCTATATACTGACATTTAGGTCACGGGAAGAGGTTAGTATATGTCCTCACGTGATCCTAGAAAGGATCCACAAACTATGGGGAAAAATACTTACCCCATAGTTCTCTTTTAAAGAAGAGTTCTGGGCATGATAAATCTTAACCCTTGCAGGGGGGCTACCCACCAGCCCTGCTCTATATGCATATGCACCCCTTATTCAAAGTACATATCTTCCATTCACATTCATTTCTGCTCCACAGAGTGGACAGTCTGTTGTCCCTACTACAGACATATGCAAGTAGTGTACATGCAAACTTTACACACATATAGTATCTGCAGAATCTCAGTGCTGCAAAGACATTATGTTAACCACCAACATTGTATTTCAGGAACAGTTATGCACTTACCTGCAGTTGGATTACTCAGAATTGGAAGAGTCTTATCTGAGACGCAGAAAGATCAGTTTTAATTTGCCGGCTACCATACAAGAAACATTCCATGGCGATCCAATCCTACGCGTTTTCCCTATGCAAGATAACACCTTGATAATGGTCAGAGAAGACGGTCATATCTATTTCTGGTCTACACGGCTCAAGCTGAAACGTGACAAGCCCATTTTTGTAAGTTTGTTCTTTGGCTTTATTGTGGTAAATGTCTTAATGACTTATTGGAACGTCTCCATCAGAATTCATATATATTATTTACCCCAGAAAATAAAAGGTACATGGGAGCTTATTAAAAAAACTTTTTGTTTTTAGTTTTAGATGGAGTGGGTTTTTTTTTTTTAGAACAGCTGTGAGGTTTTTACGGAGATTCTCCCCATCTATTTGTCCTGGTGACTTTTATCATAGAAAGTGAAGGAAAATACCAAAATTTGGGTTGTCATCATGGAAAATCTAGTTCTGGTGACCCTACTGTCCTGACCTTCAGGGATTTCTCTCTGTTTGGAGGGATTTCCTCTCACTTCCTATTGTGGCTATCAGACAGAAAATGAAGGGAAATCTCCTCAATGGGACACAGATGGCAAAAAAACTGACAGGGGTTACAAGGGTCCCTTAACCACTTGCTGACCGGGGTGTTTACACTCCCTGCCTTTCCAGGCCATTTTTTTAGTATTCAGCGCTGCGGTACTTTGACTGACATTTATTCCGTCATGCAATGCTGTACTGAAATTAATTTTATACCATTTTTTGGGGACAGATAGAGCTTTCCTTTGGTGGTATTTAATCACCACTACAGGTTTTTTTAAAAACTTTATAATGAAAAAAGTACCGAATATTTTGCAAAAAAACCCGTTCTCCCTACGTTATGTTATAAAACATTTATTATTACCCAATTTTTTGGTAAAATATAAAAGACGGGGTCACGTCGGGTAAAAAGACACCAAACATGTCAAGCCTTAAAATTGCGTACGCGCGCAAAACCTCAAAAAACGATAATACCCAAAATTGGCCATAGGCGACGCTTTAAAAGCTTTTACCGATCATCAGTTTAGTGTTATCAGTGATTGATGACCCTAGAATTATTGCTCTCACTCCGACGTTCGCGGTGATATGTAATCGCCGTTTTTGCACGTAGGCGGGCTTGATGCATGCTTGTGGGGGCAGGGGACTTTAATTTTTTTTTTTTTTATTGCTTTGATATGTTATTTTTATTTTTTTAAGTAACTTAATTTTTTTTTTTAAACTTCTTTTTTTCCACTGAACTTTATTGCTATCCCATAGGGAGCAAACAAGCACCCTATGTGATAGGCAACTTGCAGTGACAGGTCCTCTTTATGGAGACATCAGGGGTCTTCAAGACCCCTAATGTCACCTTGGGACCCCTAGAGAAGCTGATGAAGCAGAGACCTGCTTCACCAGCTTCTCTCCGGTTTCTGTACCGGAGAGTTACACTGAATGCAGGCAGTGATGTAATACACATCACTGCCTGCATTCAGAAGAGGAGAGGAGATCAAGCTTGTGTACTGAGCTCCGTTTGATCTCCGGCCGCAGAGCTGCTGTACTGGTCCCGGGCTCACACCGGGAACAGCGGAGCCCGGGATCGCCAGCAGCGGCGGCGGAGGGGGATCGCACACCCGAACGCATATTACAAGCGATCGGGTGTCTCTACAGACGTGCGAACGCTTGTATGTAAACAGCCATCGCTGGCTGTTTACATTCAAAGCCGGTTTCCCGCTCGTGCGCGCCACCTAGCGGCGGGGACGAGCGGGATGGGACGTTTAAAGACGCCCACCCGCTCTCAAGAAGTCGCTGTCCGGCCGTTTAATTACAACGGCTGGACAGCAGGTGGTTAATGTACTGACTTCAGTTCTGCTTTAAAGTAGTATTAAACTAACTAAACATTTTTTTCAAATCTAGATTGTCCAGCAAGGTATTTCTTTACATTTCTACCCAAGCATTTACAGTCATTGTGTTTCCAAATAGCTCCAACTCTCTCAGCTCAGCTTCCCTGAACTTCCTGTTGTCACAACAGAGAGCACAGTCTTTGATACGCAATTATTAAAGTAGAATTAAAATCAATTTTTTTTACATATATCTATTGCTAGCAAGCCGTATTAATATGCAAAAACATTTAAAAAAATAAAAAGTTATAGGCAAAAACTTACCTCTGTCTCTGTTGCTCCCTTCCGGCTGTAAAATCCAGGGGTGCCCATTAGGTAGATCGTGATCTACCAGTAGCTCTCAAAGCTGATGCTGGTAGATCACGAAGGGTGTGAATGGTGGCCCCTTTATTCAATTTTGGTATATTTATTTAGCTGTGCACACATGATGATTACCTATTAGCCTGAGTCTGCTGAGCCAAGCTCCCTGACACCTTTCTGGTGGATTCTGGTGGTTGAAGTGCTATGTTTTACATCAAAGAATATTAGTTTACACAGCCTGTTGCAAAATACAGAAAGGTGAGCCAGGGGAGAGAGTGGGGAGAGACAGGCAGGAGAGAGAGAGAGGGGAGACCGCCAGGAAAGAGAGAGAGGAGAGACAGCCAGAAAAGAGTGAGAGGAGAAACAGCCAGGAAAGCAAAGAGAGACAGCCAAGAGAGCAAAGAGAGACAGCCAGGAGAAAAAACGAGGAATGACAGCCATGTCACACAGCTCCATCTTATGTTTCAGGAGAAAAGTGTGAAAAAGATGGCTAAGTGGGTGACGGACTTCACAATCATGCTACAGTATAATAAATTAGTCCTGGCAACAGGGTATGTATGCATTTATCTGTGTTCATGTTGTGTGTTAAAGCTGAGCTTCAGTCAGATATAAAAACTCCATTTAATGCAGATAATTATTTTTGCATACAATTAGATTGTGCATCTGTATGTGCTTCAATAACATCATTCTGTCATCAGCTGCACAGCAGCACATTGTCAGAGCATGGGAGAGCACTGGAAGCTAATCAGACTCTTCTGCATGCACATGTGCTAACATGGATCATTCTGACTGCAGGAGAGAGCAGAATGAACAGAGTCGAAGACTCTGCCAGTGGGAAGGTGACACTATGTTAATCCTGACTGTGCTCTCATAATTTAGAGGGGTATAAATCACAATGGTTGCTAGATAGAATTACAAACCTTGGTAGATAAGACAGTTCACCCCGGTTTATTTTATTTGGGTATTTTGCCTGGAGTTCAGCTTTAATTGATGATGGTGATCTGAAGAATGGTTAACAATGGGCCATGGTTTCTAAAGATTCCCATACTTGAATTTAGATCTCATAGGATGCAATGCTTGAGGGAATAACCTTTAGAAATCAGAACTGATAACTCCTTTTAAACATCCTAATATGTTAAATAAACCATTTAAAGAGAAAGCATAATGCATACAGTATATCTAGTTACTACTGTAATATTTAACCGGAAGCTGTTTTGGATGTGGGTTTTATTGTTTTGCTTATTGTTTGATATTTCATTGTGTGCTTCTTTCTTTATATCAGACAGTGTATTCATGCTTGTGCTAATGTCAATGACCATTTTTTTAGGTGGTAATAATTGTATTAATTGCCTTTTAAAAACAGATTTGTGCTTATTGTTCTTCCAGATAATGGAAATAAATGTGTGAACTGTGACATTTTCTATTTTTGTGTGCAGAGATCGGGAGATCCAACTGTATGAACTGTCCAATATGGAGCCATACTGCCAAATCACTGGACTTGAAACCATACCCTTAAAATTAGATTACTGGTAAAGAGTATGAATATACCATATTTTAAAAGAAATAGTTTAGATGTGAGGACTTCATGTTTTAATTGAAAAGAGTTTTTTTTAAAGATCTATCCCCCCCCCGTGTGCTTCCTCAGCCTCCTCCTAGGGCAGCTCTGACAGTTCTCGTACCAAGCAGCCATTCAAAATATGCTGTCTGAGATTTTATAAAAAAGGAAAAAAAAAATAATGGTTGTGTATGTGTCTGTCAGTGTTTTTGAGGGTCCGTTCACAGTTCGAATAACGCAGTGCACCACGCAGTCGCACCTGCCACATGTAATAGTGGGGAAGGTGCGTTGCATTGCCATTCATTTGAATGGCGCATAAAGCGCACCTCCTGCCAGCACCGGAACTCACGCCAGCGCAATGCCATGCATTCAGGTGTGGTGCAACTTGGGTCGCAACTTAGTGACCAAGGAGAAATGTGGGTCTTGAAGTTACGCAGGTTGAGAACCACTGTTCTAGCCCACATCTCATTTCATCCTTCTTCTTCTTCTAACATCCTCCTTGCTGCACTTTTTTCTTCTTGAGCTCTTTACTACTGCACTTTCTTAGATCAGAGCCAATGATACTTTAGCTCTTTGCAGACAGGAATGTTAGGTGCACGTTTGAGATTGTCAGAAGTATTACTGCTGCCCCTAGAGAAGGTTAGTGGAAGTGCAGCTTCTACAAAGGATCATATCTTGAAAGACCCTTAAAGGAGAACTATGAGGTGAGTGCTTTTCACTCACCTCATAGTTCTAGCCGACCTGTGACAATGAGACTGTCACAGGTCGGCTCAGTAGATCGGGAGGTGAGCGAACACATACCGGGTTCGCTCGCCTCTCGATCCTGTCACGGCTCTCTGCCGTGACAGGGGAGGGGCTGGATTCCCCGCTCCGATCTGCCAGCGCTGACTGGCGGAACGGACGGGGGAGGGGGCGGGTACAACTGGCTCTGCCTCTAGATAGGCAGAGCCAGCTGTCATTCACGCAGCTGGGCGGTTACCGTCATCTAAGTCGGGATCCGCTCCGGCTGCGGCGTCTCAGTATACAGCGAGCTGTAGCTCACGGTATACTGAGCTTAGGGTAACGGGAGGACGCTAGTTTGTGTCCTCCCGTTACCCTAAGGAGAACTATGGGGAAAAACACTGACCCCATAGTTCTCCAAAGAAGAACTGATTTACACTCATCCTCATAGTTAGAGCTGACGTGTGACAATTAAACTGTCACACATTGGCTCTATAGATTGGGTAGTGAGCGAACACATACCATTGTTCGCTCACTTCCCGATCATCTCCCTGCAGAGAGCAGTGACTTTCAGTCACGGCTCCCCACAGGGATTCCCCCCCTCTCCGATCCTCCAGCGCAGAGTGGAGGGGGCAGGCACTCTAGATAGGCAGAGCCAGCTGTCACTCACGCAGCTGGGTGGATCTCAACAGTATTGTCGGGATCCGTCCCGGCTGCGACGCTCTCAGAATATAGCGAGTAATAGCCCGCTATATACTGAGCGTTGGGTCATGGGAGGACGTTAGTGTATGTCCTCCCGTGACCCTAAAGAGAACTATTGGATAAAAAGGTTACCCCTTTCTTCTCTTTTAAGAGTAGCAACTACTGTAAAGGGGACTCCGGGCATCAAACCCGAGGCATGTTCCCTGGGTTCCAAGGTCTTTGCCTTGCCCCATTAGGAGATTTATATCTACTCATGGCAATATTGCCAAATTGCAAACATTTTCTAGTGTCTTCAAATACCTTTACAAAGTATTTAATCGTTTATCCTGCACTAAGGCATCGCATGTTTTCCAGTTTCACAGTACACACAAGGCTTTCATTGCTGTCTGACTTAGAGCCTTGATGGCCAGTCTCTTGCAATGGACTGGTAAACAGTAGGGCAGAGCTTTCTTCATATGAAGTGGGTATTTTTACTACATATAGCATGCATTTAAAAACCAGGGGCCCCTATGTGCGCAGAAATCAATTAAATAATCTAAGGTATTGCTAGCACACATTGGTATACCTGACAGGTTGACTAAAGCTGGCATACACCAGCAGAAGTTTGATCATAGTTCTGAAAAAAAAACATAGAAAAAGCAGGATGGAAATTTTTTCTAGAATAAATGGAATTCTAACAGTGAATGTGTTTTTTGTTCATTTGAAAATCGAATGTGAAAATCAAACGGAATTCTGAACAACATTATACAAGTATCTAATGTTCTGACAACATTTTTTGTATGAACGTTTGTACAAAAAGCTACCACTGTAGGCCAGCTTAAAGGAGAACTATGGGGTTAGGATTTATCCTCATAGTTCTCCTAAGGGTAACGGGAGGACACAAACTAGAGTCCTCCCGTCACCCTAAGCTCAGTATACAGGGAGCTTGCTCGCGGTATACTGAGACGCTGCAGCTGAATCGGATCCCCACAATTATGCTGGGATCCGCCCAGCTGCGTGAGTGACAGCTGGCTTTGCCTATCTAGAGACAGAGCCAGCTGTACCCGCCCCCTCCCTCGTCCGTTCCGCCAGTCAGCACTGGAGATCCTCCAGTAGTTCCCCGGAGAGGGGCGGGGGGAATCCAGTCCCTCCCCTGTCACGGCTCTCTGCAGTTTCAGAATCGAGAGGTGAGCAAGCGACGGTATGTGTTCGCTCACTTCCCGATCTACTGAGCCGACCTGTGACAGTCTCATTGTCACAGGTCGGCTAGAACTATGAGGCTGAGTGAAAATCACTCACCACATAGTTCTCCTTTAAGGCTACTGTTCTTTAAACTGTGCAACCAATTTCAGATCAGATTTTCAGTTCTGTAATAATCCTTTAAAATGGAGCGCATTTAGCTGAATGTATAATTATATGTAATTTAGCCAACATCGGCTCATAATCTCTCTCAATATTTCCAGCATTCTTTGTGACACAGTTTCCTATTTACATATACTGTTTCCGTATACTAGACGGTTATGAAAAGGCTTTTCCTCTGCTACATGCCAGTCTATGTACCATTTTCTTCCTTTGTAGACAGGATTAAAAGATATAATTTCAGCAATAGTAATCCCTGCTTTGCATGGTCTTGTTACCATGAAAATATTATTTTGTATACTTTGTCATCCACTTCTGTGTCAGTTGTAAAGTCATGACTCAGAAAGACTGTAAGCTCAGTACACAATAGAGGTGTTATTCTTCTGATGGAATACATACAGTCCGTTTCAAGCTGTATGACCTTCAAAGGCTAAATAAAGCGGACATGAAAATTCTATATAAACCTTAAAAAGGTATTTTTTCCTGTAATTAATAAACAGGTACTTTCAACATTATTTCCTGTGAATGGTTACATTTGTAATTTCAAATATGAACTCCACCTAAAATAATACATGGGTAGAAGATAATGCTTGCATTACAGTATGTCCAATAATACTTGGCAGCCCCACCGTTGAAATGTGGCAACATGAATTCCAATATTAGTCTTCTCTCCTTGCTGCCTCCTTCCACCCTATTAAAGTGTATCTAAACTCAAAAGGAAAATGTAATATATTGCAGCTTGCCAGTCTTTAAATAGGGTGGCTGTATTAGTTTTCCTTTTGTTAGGCTTATTTCCTTTTATATTTTACATGGTGATCCAGCCAGTAAATCTGTTATTTTTCAACTTCCTTTAACAGGCCAATCTGTCCAGCAAAAGTGGCAGATACAGGTTTGGGACAAACCATTTACCACTTACAGGTGTGTTTTACAATGGTCAGATTTTCTTCATTTATGTAAAACCGTTATCCGAAAAAAGGATTTCAGATTTAATTTATTAATTAGGTCCATCTAAATCTGCTCCAGCATCTAACACTACCCTCTCCATGAAGTGACGTTGCCGCTGTCCAAGGCTGGCTTCATTGCTCCTCAATAGAGTGGAGCTACCCTAAGACAAGAATTGTGTTACTGGCAGGATCACCAGGTGAAAATTAAACTAATGCAGCCACCGCATTTAAGAATTGATAAACTGCGATATATTACGTTTTTGCGTTTGGGTTCAGATATGCTTTTACTGTAACGTGACATCCAGAAAAGCGGGAGCAGCAGGATCAGGAGGCGACAGAGACCACCCGAGTCTTAAGAGTGGGGCTGCTGGAGATAATAGTATATTATTTGCAGTCCCTGGTGTCTAAGCTGTTATAATATTACATGTATTTATTTCTCTTTAGTGCAACTGACACCGATGAGTGCATGATTTTATATGGCGATGACAAGGTAAAATTATGCTAAGCCACCAAATAATCTACTTAGCTGTTGTTCACCAAAACTGGCATCAAATTAAACCTGCATATTATTTTTTCTTTCATAGGGATGTGTGAATATTTTACTCTTTACTTCAGTAGGAGAAACATTAAGGTAAGACACACAGATAAGCCAATGGCGAAACGCGTCGGGCCCTATTAAGATAAGCCACGCTTAGGATAATTATATCTTGTTATACAATAATGTAACCACATCTGGACAATATTGAACAATATCATGATATGTCGGACCAAATGAATTTTAGAGTTATATAATCAATGAATATACCAACATATCCTCTGCATGGATCTGTTTGTTTTATTATGTTTGTATTGAATCATAAATGTATTTATAATAGTATCTAACAATAATAAATTTTGAGCAATTATTTTAACATATCTCTCTTGGATGGTCATTTACACCCCTCCAAAAACCCTTACTCTCCCCCATTTTTTTGAAATTATATAATTAGGGGGAGAGGTGTAAAACTAGGTGCCCACAGGGAGACAACCCACGATTTAGTAAAAGACACACAGATAACCTAAATAAAAAAATTTAATAAAAGTGACATCTGTAATTATAGATTATATGTTTTCCAAACACTAGATCCAAACTACTGTTTTCCTAATAGCCTTCATACAAATTCCAGCAGTATCTTCTATAATTTCCCTGTCTCTGTCACTTGAATTTTTTTTTTAATGTTTTTTTTTTCTCTGCTGCAAGTATTACTATCAGTAGGAAGGAAAGCATACAGAAACAAAAGTGCAGATATTAAAGTGCCACTAAACTCAGAAGTTAAATCCTAAAAATACATTTAAGTACCTTATTATTAACAGAAATGTATCTTATTTGTGTATCATTCGGCTGTAGATCCTCAAATCATCTCTGAATTGATGCTGACACTGTCCTTCCTTCTGGAGGGTGACTATTTTTTTTCCCCATGGTCTCTGTGTGTGTTGTAAAGTAGTCACCACTCCAAGTTCGCTCCTGTGATGGACTATAATTTCAGTACAAATTATAAACTAAACGTGAGATTGTAGTCCATCACGGGAGCAAGCTTGGAGTGGTGGCTACTTTACAACACACACAGGGATCATGGGTAACAAAAGTAGCCCCCCTCCTGAAGGAAGGACAGTGTCATTACCAATTCAGGGATGATTTGCAGAGCTACAGCAGAGAGATACATAAAGAAGATACATTTCTGTTAATAGTTAAGGTACATGAATGCAATTTTAAGATTTAACTCCTGAGTTTAGAGTCATTTTAAATAGGTGGCCACTTTATTATGATCAACTATCTACTAGCCATAAAGAGGTGTGGCGTTAATACTCAGATTGGTTGTGGCATTCAAATAATGCTTAGTTGATATTAGGGGCTTATAGTGTATATTCACTTTTGTAGTAAAATCTGATAAGCCTCTACAGTTTGTTTGTTGTGTGTTCCCATTCACACAGCAGACGTAAAAACATTTAAAAAAAATATTTCATACCTTTCCAGTTGCTTCCTTGAAGTGGGTGTAGCAGCTTCTATTACCTTGAATAGATGCCAATATTCAGATAAAGGGTAGACAGGGACAGTTTTTGCGCAATAACATACAATGCAGAGCCCAAGCTTTTAGATCTTTAACCCTTTGTTAGAACAGTCAATATTGAAATCTAATGTGATTACGGAATTTTAAGAGCAAAGCAGCAACAGTCTGTGAGTACATCCAAATCAGATAAAAGGTTTATTTGACTCGCGCGTGTGGGGAAAGGCCTTAGTCCGTCAGGCCAATTCCAACTCCACTCTAGTTCATACAGCTTATAAAGGTCCACGCATCAAGCTAAAGATTAGGCTTACACCATTGTTCAGTTTAACAGAGTTCAAAATAAATCCTGATTCAGCAATTTTTGTTCCACACTTATACATAGCAAGTGTCTGGAGAAATTGCCATCCTAGGAGTTTTTTTAGTTTATCTAAACTCAAACACTTTAAAAAAAACAGATAGCCCCTTCTCAGAAGAGTGACTTGCAACTTCCTCTCAGTGTACATTAAATGTTTTTAAGTCTCTAGCTGTATTTAATAATATGTATGTTTTTCTTTAATATAGTATACATCTAGAATATGATCGTATAGTGGAATATCTTTACCCTGCCATTTTAGATGCCATATCATTTACTTCTGGTAGTGTGCCCTGTCTTAAACCATATTTACTAAACAGTCTTACTTATGAGATATATACCATAATATGTTTCATTAAACATAATATTACAATAACAAAATGGAATCTGGAAATGTGGTTCAACAGGGATCATCAATTCTCCCTACACAAATGATAATCAATAAAAAGATAAGCAGCAATTTTTATATATTTTTTTTTACTAAGCTATGGTATGTGAATGGAAACATGTAACAAATGTAAAGTAGGCATTATCCAAATGTGGCTGCAAAAGTGGAAATAGACTTTAATTTGTAGAAAGAAAACACTCCCCACACCAGCATTTCTCAACCTTTTTTCAGCCATGGCACCCTTTAATAGTATGCAAACTCTTGAGGCATCTCACTCTAAAATGTAATTTCTGTAAATGTAAAAAAAACAACGTGTGATCTCTCCAAAATCCATACCAGACCTTTTTTTGAGATTGGGGTCTGGTATGGATTTTAAGGGGGCACTCCACACAAAAATACACAAAAAAAGTGGTGTCCCCCCTTCACATCAGCGCCCTCCCCCACTTTCACATTAGCCTTTTCTGTACATCAGCAGCCCCCTCCTTTCATATCAGAGTCACTCTCTTTCACACTAGGAGCCCCTCTTTACATCAGATGCCCCCCTTCACATCAGAAGACCTCTTTGCATAAGCCATAATTGTAGATACTGTAACTGCCACACTCCTTACATAATACCTCATGTTAAGCCTGATGAAGGGGACTCTGCGCGGCCTCGAAAACATTGCATTGTTGATGTGACAGTATACGTGAATAAAAGATGCTTTATTTTTGAACATTATCCACTGATGTGCTGATGACATTTCTGATGTACTCTTCACATAAGCATGACACTGTGTGAAAATTTTGAGGCACCCTTAAGGAAGCCAGAAGACACCCCTTGGCACCATAGTTGACAAAAGCTGCTCTACTTAATGCCAGTCTGACAGTTTGTCTAAAAACAAGATTATTATTGTTATTCAGGATTTATATAGCGCCAACAGTTTGCTTTATAATATAAGGAAGACACTAATATCGTGTTTCCCCAAAAATAAGACACTGTCTTATTTATTTTTTTTCATGAAAAAAGACACTAGGTCTTATTTTCGGGGGATGTCTTACCTGGCTGCAGCTGTCGAGCTCTCCGATCTCCGCTCCGATGCAAAGAGGTGTGCGGGCGGGCGTGTTGTGTGTGCGGGCGGGCGGTCGTGTGGGCGGGCGTGGAGGGAGGGAGCTGCGGCCGCTCTTAACATGTAAAAATCAATTACATGTGCAGCTAGCCCGGAAGTAAGATCTAGCGCTATGTTCAGGGATTTCTGTAATATAAGACCTACCCCGAACTAGGTCTTATTTTCGGGGTAGGTCTTATATTACAGAAATCCCTGAAGATAGCGCTAGGTCTTACTTTCGGGGTAGGTCTTACTTTCGTGGAAACGCGGTATTACAAAACAATTTACAATTCAAGACAAGATGTTAAGGAGACCATGAGGACTTACGATCTAAAGGATGGAACCATAAATGCAGATACTGCATCTGCCACATCCTGTACCAACATTTCGTTATGAAATCAACATTCAAATGTTTGGTCAAACTTAATCTGAACATCTTGATCATGTCTGCATGCTCTATGTATCGAGTCGCAGCTACCTGAGTCACTGTTATGCTTTATATGTTAACAGACAAGTGTTTCTAATAAAGTGACAACTGAGTGAATGCACACATTATTAAACTCTCATACATGCATGCACTTATACACATAGGGGTTTATTTACTAAAGGAGTAGAGGCTGTTCACTTAGCAAAGGGAATGTTTATTTTGCAAGGTGAATGTTAGTAAATAAGGTAAACCTGTGTTCACTATGAATACATAGCATTGTGCAACTAAATCGTTTTTTTTTTAAAGTTTTTATTTTCCTGCCATATGACTGTGTATTAAAGGGGAGCACAGGTTCACCTTATTTACCATTGTTAATTTTACTTGGTGATTAGCCTCTATTCCTTAACCAAATCAACCCCACTATATTCTTTGACTACATCTCCTCAGGCCTCTTATCTTCTTCACTGGCATTACTGATGTGAGGGAGACTGAATGAAACCTGAGATTGGGTATATTAGCTATTTGAAGCTATAATAGCAGAATATTAAAGCAACAGGCTATAGATGAATTTTGGGTTGTACTGTTTACAAATCCTGCAATACCTTAATTATGCGTGAAGAAAAGAAAACTGTTAAAAAAACACACAATGAAAAGCAGAATAAAAAAAAACAGGCTTATCTTTAGTGAAAAAAAAGCTTGTGATGATGATGATTACTAGTTACAAACATCTGGAGTTATGTTCAAATTATGACTTTTCCTGTAAAAGTCACACATGGTCCCACCTCCATATTGGTCTACAAGGAGAGAAGAGGTGAGAAATTATAGATTTGGGTGTCATCAGCATAGAGATTCTCAATATTACGGTACCTTTGGCGTCCATCACTTCCCTGCAGTCTCGCTTCTCTTTTCGCTGGGAGGTACACCATATCCAGTCTTTGGGAACATTGATCCCCAGAGACCTGGAGGGAGTCTACTCCGCCAATTTCCTTCCACTACTTAAAAAAATAGCCCTGGACTTCAAAGCATGGCGCTCCCTCCATGTCTCTTGGCTGGGTCGCTGCGCCGCGGTAAAAATGCCGAGGGTCTTGTACCTTATGCAGGTGCTTCCCATTAGTCTACTGACCCAATTCTTCCAGACCCTACATGGGGATATTATATCATTTATCTGGGGGGGTAAGACCCCCAGATTGAGCAGACGCATCCTATCATTGCCCAGATCTCGGGGAGGAGTAGGGCTGCCAGACATGTCAATGTACTACACGGCTATACACTTATCCAGGCTCCTAGAGTGGTGTCTATGCAGAGAGGGTAAGACATGGGTAGCAATGGAACGGAGCGTATACCGGTTCCCAATAGAAGGTCTTCCTTGGCTATCCTCTGCCATACCACAGGAAGCCAAATCTCACCCGCTCATATACACGACCCTAAGAGTATCTCGGAGGGCCTTGGGGACGACCTCCTTGTCCCCATCCCCGTCGCCTCTGACGCCGGTTCTTGGGGATCCTGATTTCTCGCTAGGAGCTGACAATGGCAGACTACGCCGATTCCTCCTCCGTGCCTCCAAATTTCGGCTTCGAGACTTCAGGGGATCAAGGGGCTGGCTGCAGACCGCAGAAATACAATCCCTCACAGATCCCCCGGTGGACTTCTGGAGTTCCCTCTCCCTGAGACACTTCCTTCGGGCGATACCTAACGCGTCCCTCCTGGACAGACCTTTGACGGACTTCGAACATGTGCCTAGCCCAGCTCCCGCCCCGACATGCTGTTTCCCAACTGTACAAGCTACTGCAGGCCTCCACTGGGGATGTACCGCTACATTTCCTGCACGGCTGGGAACCGGAGCTACACTGTACTGTCTCGGAGCAACAGAGGGACAGCATCCTAGCGATGACTTTTAAGGCCTTGCTAGCGAATCGTTACCAAGAGTCAGGATACAAGATTCTGACACGATGGTACAGGGTACCGTGGTTGCTCCATAGAATGAATAGCTCGCTTCCGGAGCTGTGCTGGAGATGTGAGGGGGCTCAGGGTACGATGTTACTCATCTTCTGGTCCTGCCCTGAACTGCGGGTCTTCTGGAGACAGGTGCTGGAGCATGCCTACTTCACTTGACTAAACACTCGATCTCTAGGTATAAACGATCTCTGACACACCACTTGTTGAATGCAGCTCGGGCGTGCATCCCCATGAAATGGAGAGACCCTCACCCACCTACTGTCCAGATGTGGCTCGCTAAAGTACAGGATACTTATCTGCTAGAGGACCTAACTGACACACTGAAAAATACGGAGGCCCGTTTTAATGCCACCTGGGGGCCGTGGTTATGCTACAGAATTTCTGCCCAAAGCCTTGATCAACCTACACAGGTTGGCCTGATCGGGTCTTCGTCACCCGAGCTGACATGAAGACATCTGGGGTGGCTCGGATGGGAATAACCCCCGATGCAACCTTGGACGCCGGCTGGCGTTGCGGGTCCCGGACGGACCTCGGCTCCTTTCTACCTTTTCCACTTTCTTACCTCTTTCACTTTCCCCTCGACCTTGAGACACTATCCGATATTGGAAATAGTACTTAGTCACAGAGCTTCAATGTACAGAATGTCATCACTGAGTCTAAAGTACTGATGAATCAACTACTGTACTGAGCTGTTTCCACCTATTCCCGATGCGATTTTTTTTTTTTTTAGACAGGATATGCTTGCAATGACACGGTGTAGACCGTTTCTCAACGTGCCTTAAAGATTATATGTAACTGATTTTGCTTTCAATCACACTGTATTGTTATATCTGATGTTTTCTTCAGCCAATAAAAAATCAGCATAGAGATGGTATTGGAAGCCATGGAAGGGAGGAGGAGTAGATAGAGAAGAGAAGGGGTCTGATGACAGAGCCTTGGGGGACCCCTATAGAAAGAGGTAGAGGAAAGGAGGAGATGGAGTTGTAGGTGACACTAAAGGAGTGTAGGAGGAGAACCAGGAACGAGTAAGGTCTTAAGGGCCGACGGAGTGGAGTTTTTTGAGAAGTAGCATTTGGTCAACTGTATCAAAGGCTGACGTACCATTTATGAGGTCTACATGGAGCACATGTACAGCAATTCACAATATTAGGATCTGTGCTTATATACCCCTCCTCAGCAAATACAATCATAGCCATCTGATTAAGAAAATCTCTGCTCCCAAAATGCATTGGTCGCTATGCCTCTTAGGCTGTGTGTAGTAAAAGCCGGTTTTGCAGGACTTCAGATTAGCAGTATTCCTCTTGCAAGGAAAGCAGATAAAAGGTTTATACATTATATTTGTAACTTCAGCAGCTACTCCTTTTAAACAATGTCCAATCAGCCCAGATCTTCTTTAAAAGTGGAAGTACATGTAGCAGCATACAGGTCTTTAGAAAAAGAGGCTCTTTTCAGAATTTAAAGTAATCAAACTTTTACACATGAACAAAATTAATTTTAATAAGATAAATATTTATTTTCAGGATGTGGAAGAAGATGCCCAGGGCAGATAACATAATTCCAACCATTGTTATAGACAATGTTATTCTTTCTCCTCATGTGACTTACATTCGCTGGAAAGTACACAGCGATTGGGTTACCCAGGTAAGAACACCATATCATATCACTGTGTATACCATGTACTCCATAGAACATCTAGATGTCTTATAGACTGCTACAGTGCATGACATTATTACTCACAAAATATCATTAGATGGACTGAAGATTGCAGGGCTAGCCTGCATGTCGTGCTCTCCAGGACCTTAGTATACTGTGTTATTTATCTACAGTCCAGGTCCACTAGCACAGTGTCTGGTGTGACCCGGTCTCTGAAGACTCTCTCTGTGAATAACACTGTGTATGGGGTAAAGATAGCCTGCATTGTGCCCTTCGGGCACTGGGTTCTGTATTGTGGGTCTTTTCAGACCCCTGTGTACTGTGTCAGTTAGCCGCAGATGCTCTGTAGTTTCAGTGTCATGGTAGAGCCTCTGGTGCATCGTAATCTCTGATGGTCCCCTGTGTGAGTAAGTCTCTGGAAGTGTTAAAGATAACCATTTATGACTCCTTTGGACACTTCGCTATGCACTGTGGCACTGTCCAGACCCTTCTGTTCAGTGTCAGTTAGCCGCAGAGCATTCTCCAGGTCCAAAGCTGAGGCACAACTTCTGTTGTGATCCAGCTTTTGCAGTCTACCTCTCTGAATAAATCTTTGCTTGTGGTTACCATATCCTGATATGTGATCTTTGGGATATGAACTCTGCTTTATGGCAATTCTCAGTAATGTACTGTCTCCCATCACCTGTCTCCCATGTGAAACACAGATCACAAAGCCATAAACATTCTGTTTAATAGTAAACCACTACTTTACCAGTGTTAGATGTTTTACCCTAAATATGGAACTGGTTATATTTTGCTTCCCAGAGACTAGTGGATTCTGTTGCAACATTGACTAGTACACTAGTGCTCCTTGCCTCCCTAGCTTCCACAAACTGTTGTTTTATATAATTATGTAAAATTAGGTGAGGCCTGGACACATGTGAAGCTTTGCTGCACTTCCAGTCCATTCAACCTGAAGATGTTACATGACCAAAGTCTATATCACATTACTTGTAAGGCAGCCTAGCTCTCCAAGCTTCAATAGGGAGAAGGAAATGCATCCATGTAGAGCAATGTGTAAGGGACAGCACATTATGGTTGAGTCAGGGCAGGCAACCAGGATCCTATTCAGCTTTGCAAGCTTGGCATTTTAGGATTGATGTACCAGGATATCTGTACTAACAAATGGATTTTCTCCAATCACAGTTGCCAGTCAAGTTAAAAGTTTCAGGGCAAGACTGAAAGCTGTGGAGAAGGAACTTCATGACTTTCTACAGATGCTTTAATACAACAGGGCCCATTGTTTCCATTGTAGAATTTCCAGTACAGCTATTTTATCTTCAATCCATCAGACAGCAAATGCACATATAATTTCATATGTCAAAATGCATGACTTGTTGTTAATAAGAGCTTGCTCTATTGTTCATGTGCAAATGTGGTAACCTCTTTGGCACAATAATGGTTGTTAAATACATTCCATTTGCTTTTCAGATGAAGTACTTTGATTCCATTAAAGCTGTAATTTCTTCTTCAAATGACGAATCTACTGCTTTAGTTATAGGTAATATTGAATTCATTTTTGTATGTTACACTTCTCTATAACATTTTGACTGGAAAAATATATAATTTTGGATTTTCTGAAGCCTATAATTGTTTAAAATCTGTTTTGTTAGGTTGTTTCAAATAAACTGTTTATCGGTGCATTGAAATTGGACTCCCACAAATATTTCATTTCTGGGTAGATGTCAATAGGTTGAATCAGCCGCCAGCTTCTAAAACTTGTTATTACTAACAGCATTTATTTTTACTCTCAGCTTAACCTCACCTAAACTCTAATGTTCAGAGCACATTGTTTGGCAAACATTAGCAGATGTCACAGCTTACAGTATGTTTGTACAGAGATTGCTAAAAGCCTGCTGAACTCTTTTTAATGCTTGTTTAGCAAACTTTTCCATTTAATAAAAACTGTAAAGCAGCTATAGCAGGAGGCCTCAAGTGTGGTCCTGGACTTCACCAAAGGGCTACACATAATATTCAGTGAATGCAATGTACAGAAAGCTTTCAGGGATTGCAGACATGCAACAGAGGATGGCCAGAGTCTACAGACATGCTACAATAAATTGCAGATATGCTATAGGAATTGCTGGAGACTTTTTCAGTAGATAATCAGGCTGTTAAAACATTACATAAGACTGCTAGAAACTACTGCTGTTACAGCCCCTTAACAAATCAGTGCTTCCACATTTGTGCTTCATACTGCCCTTTTAAAAAAAATGTGTGCCACATTTGATATTCCTCTTAGCAAAATCCATAAAAGATCATAGTTAAAACCAATAAAGAAAAGGGATGGACAGCACAGACAAAAAATAAGTTATTGTGAAAGAGAAATAAACTGAATTACATAACTACTAAAAGCCATTATGTTTCCTTTATTGTCAAAAATAATGCTAGGGTTGTGAGCCAGGTTAGTGGTTTTTAACACAAGAACAATTATGCAGTGAAGAAGGCATGCCTACTCCAATAGATGAGGAACAGAATGAGAGTAAGAGTTGGCAGTGATAGTGGTGCTGGAAGAGATAGCATTGGTGGTTGTACACGAAACGTAAGGGGTGGAAGTGATGGTGTTGCAGAGAGATTGATAGGTGGCACTGGATCTGGTGCAGGGAGAGGTGTCCGTGGTAGAGTGAGAGGTATCATTGGTATTGGTACAGAGAGAGGGCAGTTATGGAGCTACAAGGAGAGTAAGTTGTGGCAATGGTAGTGGTGCAGGAAGAGGAAGAAATGGCGGTGGTAGTAGTGATGCAGGTAGAGTGAGAGGATGCAGTGATAGTGCAGAGAGAAGAGGCAGTAGAGGTCGTGCAGGGAAATTTAGAGGTAATTGTGGTACAGGCAGAGCAAGAAGTGACAGTAGAGGTCTGGAAATGGGAGATATGCAAGGCATAATCAGTTCTTATTCAGAGCCAGAAGACTCCAGTTGACAAGTATGTGAGAGTTATAAACTCATGTAGAATTAGCAATTTTACATATACAGGTGGTTGTGGCACACTGGCTCTTTATTTGGGAACATGGTACATGTACAAGACAGAACTGATACAAAAAAATAGATATTTGTGGCAACACAGCGAGTTTCATGAATACAGTGTGTTAGTACTATAGAAACAAGGAACCTTACAGGGTCCTAAAGCAGACATTTAGAGCCAAACCTTTTTATATGCCAGTTGTGATTGGGAGATAAACCATTGTACAGTTTTTCCTTAAAATGTCGCTTAAAAGGGCGATTGTGGCCTGCTGCAAACTCCTCAGCCTTAAAACCCAAGTGAACGTTTGGTTTAAATCAAGTAAATACATTTCAGGGGCATCAAAACAAAGGTTGTGCAAACTATTACACTATGAGGATTATTCACTAAGGAAGCGAAGGATCTAGCCGTAGCTTCGGCTGATCCTTCAGCTCACTTCAGCCGCCGCAGCCCTTCGGTTCAATCGAACCGAAGGGCTGCTGTACGGGCTATTCACAATGACACAATAACCCGTACAGCAGCTGAGCGGCTCAGCCGAGCCAAATTCATATGCTTCAGCTCGGCTGAGCCGTTGTCACAGCTGAAGCGGGGAGAATGGTTTGCGAAGCCGACTGTTCTCCCCGCAAATGACAACAACTGGGCGTAGCCAGCCATGATGTCATGGTTGGCTCCGCCTAGTTGTTGTCATTTAATGACCAGCGTCCTCAGGTTATTTGAGGCTGGACTGTCATTAAATGACAATAGCAGGGCGGAGCCATCCGTGACATCACGGCTGGCTCCACCCAGTTGTTATCATTTTGCCGGGACCTGCGGGAAGACTATGACAGGTACCGGGCGAATGTAAACAGTTGGGCGGAGCTAGCGGTGAGATCGAGCGGAGGTAGCGAGCAGCATAGCCGACCTGAATGCCGCACCGTTCGGCTATTCACTCACTGCCATTTGGCCCCCATGAGAACATGGGCGGACAGCAGCGAGGGAGGTGCCAGAGGTTTGGCTCAGCCGATCCAGAGTCGAAACGGAATCAGCCGCACAGAGCCGAAGTGAATAGCCGAAAGCCGTACAGGTTCAGTTCACTTCAGCTCGGTCATTCACTCGATTGCCTTCGGCAGCTTAGTGAAAAACCCTTAGTTTTCCTTAGAAAGCAGCCTGAGTAGAATAGCCTGTTCACTTCCCACATCCTGCAGAAAAATACGCTTGTATTCTCTGTGGAGGTAGCGTTCTCTCTGTTGAGTTCTTCTCAACCGCTTGCTAGCAGTGGATAGGCTTTTATACTCTGGCTGTGGCTGCTTTCTAAAGAAAATGAAAAATAAGACTGCACACATACAATACGACATTTGTATTGATGGTCCAGGAATGTATTTAGCTGATTTAAACTTAAATCATGTATAAAAAATATATACACTTGTACTTGGACTCAAATATATACACTTGTACTTGGACTCAAATATATACACTTATACTTGGACCCAATAATATTTCATACGCCAAGTCTGCTTTTCGCTCCAGTCCTGGTCATTAGAGATGTGCTTGCCGAATACTGAAGTCGGTGGAGCCCATAGTTTTTGTGATGGTATCTAGTAATGGACTATATTTTCTCCTCTCCCATTGTCAGGAAAGTAGGTAAAAGTTGTAAAGAGCATTCAACAGAGCCGTATTTTAGGGTAAATTTGCCATTTTGTACCTTTTAAAGCTGAGGCTAACGGCTTGAGCTGGAGGCTGTGATCTTCTGATCTAGGGATGGTGCTAGTGTTTTGGATTAGTGAGTTATGCCTATTTTCTAATAATTACAGAAATCCCAATTGTGTGGGATCCAAGGCCTCTGGTGGTGGTGTAGTACATCCAGTTCTGTAGAGACACAAATGTCCAGTTATTTAGGTAAAAATTATATTTGGACTCTTCTGCATTTTTTCCTGAAAGCCAACTTAAAGTGTAATTATGCTTTAAGGTTGTACCATAGGGACTACAAATGTGGAACAGCAGATGAAGGACATCAAAGATCATGTGAGAGATGTGAAGGGACGACGAGCTCCACTGACATCTGGATCACCACAGAAGAGAGCGGAAGGAGACCAGACTGTCTTTCGGGTGTATAAAGGGGTGAAGACCTTTGCATTCTGCAAGAAGAACAGTCTTGTGATCACAGGGGGAATGGACCGCATTATCAGAATGTGGAACCTCTATGTGCCTGCGTAAGAACATATAGCCTAATAAATAAGGTTATGCTTATTTTTTACATTTATATTTACCGATTGGAAACTTTGTAATAATAACTCGGGGTACAGTAATTTGGAGCTCTTTAACAGTTACAGATTGATTTTGTAAAGTATTGGGGACCAAACATAAGCCATTGTCCAAAGTCCAGCTGTGTGGTTAGAGCAGGGTGGGGAGACACATGTGTTTATATCTCCTTCCTCTGTGTCCATGTTAAGGTAATCTGCCATTTCCAAATTGCCTTTAGGCGTGCTTAGTCAAATCAAATGACAAAAAAGGAGAGCGCCCACTCCATGTGAAGGATCGTTTAATAATTTGCTTTTAAAAAATGGTAATTTACTAACAAGAGAAAAGTGACACAAGCTTATCACTAGTGACGAGGGAGCATGAAGCCAACTTTCTGGCGAATCAGAAAGCCGGGGAGTGGGTAATGACTCGATGCCCGGCTTCCTGACACCGGAAGCTCGGGTATACGGTCCAGGCATCGGAGCATTTGGGCATGTACCGGCGCATCCCTAATTAGCATGCTATCTGGGAACTGGGGCCGCTGGACTTTAACAGCTTCTCACAAAAGACGGAGTAAAAAAATTCTTCATGGAGAGGACTGCTCCACGATCTCAGTGTGGAGGACAGTAGGACACGCTGATCCTTTCACAAAGGAGCTCTGACAAAATTACTCGTGTGGCATTGCCCTTTAATTCCGGTACAAGGACTTCTGGGACTTATAGATAAAGCTAAGAAGGTAGTTGTACCCTGATATATTATGAAAGTTTTTTGTTTTTTTTTAATCGGTGGACGATTTTATTTTTGTTGTGTGTGCTGACTG